CAATTGTGTTGAAGTGATTTATCTCCCAACCACCAATCTTCCCGAAATTTAACATTTTTCCCACCGCCCACAATAAATTTGCATAGATGGTTTTCGAATTTAAGCAAACCCTTCCAAAATTTAGAAGCACCTTGTCTAGATTTTCCAGTAAGGCATCTATTTCTTGGATATTTTTATTACAATTTTTGTCAAAGACCCTCTGAATTGTGTTTCTTCAGATTGGATTCTTCCGATCTACGCTACTCTTCTTCGGCGGCGGTTGTTGTTCTGTTGTGCTGGTCCTATGGGGCCTTATCACGACGACTTCCCGACTGTCTACTACAACAAGTTTTTCCCGGCTCCGGAGAGGGAGAGGCGATGACGGCGGCACGCCTTCGGCTCACTTCAGTGTTTGTAGTCATCGCTAGGTGGTCTATGGACTTGGATGTAACTTTTATTATTTTTGGTGTTCGTTGTATTCCCATGATTGAAGTGAATAGATTGGAAGTTTTCTCGCAAAAAAAAAGATGGACATTTTTTCACATTTACATAATTTTTTCACAGTAAATATATATACTTAACAAAAAGTAGAACATGCAATTGTTTAGGCAAAACCCTTTCAAATACAAAATTATGATTTTTTGTGCCAGCCCATTTAGCAGTCTTGTGCTTTATTGGGCCTGTCGTGGAATAGGAGCTCCCATACCGATATACATGTGAGATCAGCCACTCAGCGAATATCGGCACACTATTATAAAATGCTACACTTAAGTACAACTTTCTTGCCCCTCAAAAGCACAATTTTCTATACCTAAAAGAAAGTACAGTTTGCTTATGGGGAGTGTTTACAGACGGATGTGGAGGCTGGTTGTAGGATCCTGGTAGAAAAATTTAAGCAGCACTTACAGTTAGAAGAGAACGTCAGAAACAGACCATGTATCGTCACTGCGTTATAGGGAAAATTTTCTATAGCATTATTGGTTTGCGAGGGACAATTTTATCGAAAAAGGATTTCGTCCCGCTTTATATATAAAGCACCAATCAACAAGCACCCATTACAGACACACGTCACCGCAACACAAGCACACACCCAGGACAAGATACATAGACACTGAGCGCAGCAACACCACCCCTAGCACTACCACCACAAAGAGATGAAGCTACATATGACGAACAATGTGCTTCAAGGCGGCGCCTTCAAGAAGGGGACGACAGCGGAACGCCGCCACCGCCCGATCCAAGGATCAGAGTTTCCCCTGGAGCCGCATGACGGGCAATGAGAGCCGCGACGACGCCTTCAAGAAGGGAACAATTTTCGCCGCCGCCGGTCCGTCCGAAGATAGAACAGGTTTTCACCTCGGCCAACGCTCACAGCCACTGAACGCCACACCCGGGCAACCACGCCGCCCACACGGCCATGGTAACCGGGCAGCGCCAAGGCCCGGGCTCCGCCCAAGAGCACCACGCTACCACCACCCGGGCCGCCGCCCCGGCATCCAAGACCTTGACACCACCTCACCTGAGATCTGCCGCAACCCCCACGGAAGAGACGAGCGGAAAGGTCCCACCTTTCGCACCCCTGGACGACCCACAGCATCGAGACCACAATAGGCCGGCCAGAACTGGCATCCACTGACCCGTCCTGCTGCCCCGAGCGTGAGACGAGCTCGGTCCTGTAGCACCAAGAGGGGAACGAGATCAGTCCTGCTGCACCGTTCGCGAGACGAGCTCGGTCCGGCTACACCGTGCGTGAGAGGAGCTCGGTCCTGCAACACCTGGCACGAGATGAGCGATGGACCGCAGCTGGGAGAGGACCAGCCCTCTGATGAGAGTAGCGCCCGGGCGACGAGGAAATGGATCGAAGGTCGAGATGGTCCGCACGCAGACGAGCCGATGCCAGAGAAGCCGGCCGCAGCCGCGTGCAGATCCGTCGAGCCACCGTGAAGCTGCCACGACACCGGGAGGCCACCCGACGGACCTCCCCATGCCGTCGCCCACGGCCAGAGCAGCGGCCACGCCCGGCCGCTGCCCAAACCGTGTCGCCCGGCGAACTCCAAGCGCCGGAGCCGCCGGGCATGCACCACCGGAGCCACGCGCCTTGCTACCCCCTCCCGGAGACCACGCCACCACCACCTGCGTTGACCGCACGGGCGCCACCGCAACCACCACCAGATCTGCAGCCCCTACGCCCGTACAGCCACGCCCCGCCACGAGCGCACCAGCCGGCACGCCTCACCATGCTGGAGGCCGGCCTAGCCTAGCCGGACACCGTCCCCAGCCCGCGCCGCCGCGGCCCGTGGCCCTTGCGCCGGGATTTGACGAGGAAGCCCCGAAGAAGCCAGCACCTCGCCCTCCCCACGCACAAGCCCGCGCCACCAGAACCACGCAGCCGCCGCCGCTCCGCCGCACGGCCGACCACCGGCGTGCCGCCCGGGTCGCCACCGTGCCGTCCCGCGCGAACGACGCGCTTCTCTCCGTGGCCCTGCGTCCCGCACCGCCGGAAGCCAAGGAAGAAGGGAAGAAGGCCCCGCCGCCACCGACGCCAGCCGGGCTTCACCCGGTGGCGCCCTCAGGCGGCGGCAGGGGGAGGAAGGGTTGGTAAAGGGATGCTGGCCGATGGCGGCTAGGGTTCGCCCTGCCGCCCGCGAGAGCGGCACGAGCGAGAGCCTTCCCTTTACTTTTACAATAATAGCAGAGGAACTGGGGCCATTGCGCTTGCGGACCTCGACCCCAGACGGGAGCCGCCCGCGGATCCATTGCCACATGAAGATCCGGATCTTCAGGGGCAGAAGAATGGGCCACACCGCCAGGAGGGGGGCGGGGCGGAGGAGGGGGCAATGGCCGAGTAGAGGGATTTGGTGGAGAATTGGCCCGAGGGCTCAAGACGCCACCTGAACTCATCCGAGCCTGCATCGACAGCCAGCTCGTGGAGAGCAATGCATTCGAGAAGTTCCTGCCAAGCGGCAGCTTCCGGAGGCCCAAATGGCCTCCGGAACGCGAGGCGCCCTAAGTCAATAAGGGCCCGTTCCATGGAGATCGTCGGGACGACAGCGATGGAGAAGAGGTCGGGGAAGCGAGCCGCAAAAGGGGTATCGCCCGCCAAACGATCAAACCAGAACATAGTCGCTGATCCCGATCCGACCGGAATGGACATCCCAATGCGGAGGACGGGAAGCAGCTAGATGACTGATTGCCAGAACTGAGATCCACCAGACTGTTGGCAGAAAGCCAGAGGCTGGCCACGCAGATATTTATTCCTGATGATATCAAGCCATAGCCCGTCGTTCCCTTGCGAGATGCGCCACAGCCAGCGGGAGAGGAGGGCGATATTCATGCGCTTGGAGCACATGATACCGAGGCTGCCTTGCTCCCGAGGCTTGCGAATGTCAGGCCAGCTAACCATATGATATTTCTGCTTGTTATGGTCCCCAGCCCAATAGAACCGGGATTGGATCTTAACGATCTCATGGTGGAGGGTCTCGTGAAGGCTGTAGAAGCTCATGAGGAACAAGAGGAGACTGGAGAGCGAGGAGTTGATGAGGATAGTCCGGGCCGCCTTCGACAGCCACCGACCCTGCCAAGGCTCGATGCATGTTTGCAGCTTGGCCACCGTCGGGCGCAAGTCAGCGACGGTAAGTCTCGAGTCGCTAATGGGCGTCCCCAGGTAGGTAGTGGGCAAGGAGCCGAGGCGACAATTCAGGCGGTTGGCAATGTCGAGGGCCTCCGCCGGAGAGTATCTCATCACCATCACATCACTCTTATCGAAGTTAATCTTGAGGCCAGACATTTGCTGGAAGCAGAGAAGGAGGAATTTAAGGTTAGCGATGTCCGTAACAGAGCCTTCGACCATAATAATGGTGTCGTCGGCGTACTGGACCAGGGAAATGTCGGAGCCGCCGGCCAAGTGGGGGTTTAATCCCACGAATATGGCCAGCAGTCTTAGCCTTATCCAGGATGGTTGCAAGCGCGTCCACCACCATATTGAACAAGAACGGGGAGAAAGGATCGCCTTGCCTCACCCCGCAGAAAGTGGGAAAGTAAGGGCCAATCTCCCCATTGATGTTCACGGCAGTGCGACCACAAGAGACCATCTGCATAACCCTAGTAACCCAACGGTCATCGAAACCTTTCCGGGGTAGAACTTCCCGAAGGAAGGGCCAGCTAACAGTGTCATAGGCCTTATGTAAATCGATCTTCAAAAAGACCGCCTTGAGGTGTTTGGAGCGGACCTCATGGAGGACTTCATGAAGGACTAGCACCCCATCCAGAATATATCGACCTTGGATGAAGGCCGATTGGTTGGGGTGGGTAATATGATCTGCGAGCAGGGTCATTCTATTGGCGTACCCTTTTGCCAGGATCCTAAAGATCACATTTATCACTGCCTGGTCTATTTCTATTTTCGATAGACTTCACGCGGTGTAAGTTAGCATTTAATACCCCTTTCTGTCCAAAATATAGAGCATAGAATTTTTTCCATAGATGTCAATCTTTGTAAAATTTAATCAAACTTCACCCGCAGAAAAAAAAATCAAACTGATGGAGAAATTTACTGCATCTACAATACAAAATAAATATCCTTAGATCCATCATAAAATATGTTTTCTAATTTTATTTGATGTTATTGATACTTTTATTTAATTTAGTCAAAGTTTATGAAATTTGACTTCAGAAGAAAAAAATGCACTACACTTTTCGAATGGAGGGAGTACTGTATTTTTGTTGCAGACCATATAATGTACATTTACATAAGGAAAACTGCGATTTACAAACAGGAGAAGGAGACAGACCATCCTATAACATGTAATATGTACTGTACTAGCTACTATTGCCAAATAATAATTATGTATACATATGAACATGCATCGGTCGACTCTTTCTTCTAGCTAGCAGCCTTGCATATACAGTTGCATGCACGCCATGACTTGCATGCATATCATATCATATCATAGGATATCCCCATCCATGCTGGCCAGCACGCACATATATGCTTCATATCCATGTACCTACCAGCTATCTCGCTAGATCTTCAAGTGCTTCAGCCTGCATACATGAATTAGTTAACAACCTGAATTCATTCCGAGAAGAATCAATGTCATCAACAAGCTAGCTATTAACATCACTAAAATATAAGAGTGTTTAGATCACTAAAATAGTTATCTAAACATTCTTATATTAGTTTACGGAGGGAGTACCTATTAATTCGATAAGCACGCCCGAAGAGGATGCCAAAGGAGAGGGGTACAAACCTGTCGGCCTCGTAGCCAACGTTGGGGCCGGGGCAGGGGGGACGGTAGGCGGGGAAGGGCACCTTGCCGGCCTCGATGTTGGCGACATCGTGGACGAGCAGCTCGTAGTAGCGCCTCACGTCATCAGCCGACTTGCCGCCGCCAACGGCGCGGGCAACGTTGTGCCAGCGGTCGGGCGTGTCCCTGTCGTGCACTGCCAGCGCTTGCTCGAACAGCTTGTTCTGTTTCGGCGTCCACCCCGCCGCCCTCCCGGCCGCGCTCATGGATAGCGACGTCATTGATCCGTCGAGTGATGAGTGATGAGTTGAGGAATGCTATAGTTGAATGCCGGTGATGTGACCTATAGTTGAATGCCGGTGAGATTGTTGAGGAATGAGTTGGAAGTTTGTGAGTAGCGGTGCTACTTATAGGCGGTCAGGCAGGAGTCGACGAGGATTGCATGATCGGTCTGGGGGCGGGAGATGGGAATAATATGTACAGTATATGGAGCATAAGGTCAAAACTGAGGGAGCTGGAGTGGAAAAAACAAGGGGAACAAGGGGGAGAATCATCAGCCGGCCACTACGAGAGGAGAGAGGAGGAACCAACATTTTTGTCCCCGGGAAGTGGGGGATCTAACTTTGTTTATCTCTTTGGCCCAGTTGCATTGCATCTGTGCTCGATCTTCTCCTGCTCAAAGATTCAAAGCATGCGAAATTGTAAATATTTATATGCGCAAGGAAATGCACCCTCATGATTAAGCATATTTACACCGCAAATGTGTCGATTGATATCTTCTAAGAAAAAACTACTCCCTCCGATCTGAACTTCGTATTTGTGTGAAATATTCAGAAAGGATAACATCAAGCAATACATAAATTAGATAATTACTGCTTGTAAAGGAGCTAGTTAGAAAATTATTTTAAAAGAATCATGTTGCTATCTTCAAATAGCTTGTTGCAGAGATTGGATTCTAACGTCAGAAAACGGGTGTGTGTTGGCCATACGATCCAGGAGCTAGAATATATATCTTGCTTTTTGGATGAGAGAATATTATCAAGAAATCTAGCTCCAACCTGTTTGTGTGACTCTACCTATACCAAAAAGAAATGTCTTTTTATATTCCGATGGAAAGAAAGAAAAACTGCTTTCCGGTAATGAGTGAAAGGAATTTTCCTTTTGTGTGTTGCGCCTGGTTGATTCTAAATTGTCCCACCTTTTAGGTAATTGACGAACGTTAAATGACAGCATTTCCTTTTAAGTATTCCAGTAGTTTGGGAAATAGTTCGTTCCAAAATAGTTTTACCTTAACCCCACGATAGAAATACTAGAATACAAATGTGACTATATGATACAAGTGAGTTCTATTTTTCAAGTGGAATTGCATTCACAAATTACAAACACAACAGCAACATGCTACTTGTTGTTATAGATGATTGTACAAAATCAAACTAGGTGATTACATATAAGAAATGTGTGCAAATGGGGAAAAGCATTATAATGTGACACTACACATATTTTTTTATTATGGATCTTCATCGTTCCCAAAAATACGGCACACTTAAGTTTTGACATTTTTTAGTGTACATTTTTCATTTATAGTATGTTTATAAAATTAGTATAAAGACATGACATTTATTTTGAAAAGGAGGATGACCCCCGGCCTCTTCATCTGGGCAATGAATGCGGCCATTTTATTAATTATTCACAAAGACCTTACAAAGTAATACATCAATAATTCTGAAGGCACCATCTTGGCAACGTCTGTCGCTACTCATATCCACTTGATGAAAGGTGCTGATTGTCCGAGCCAAATACCATACAGGCCTCGCACCAAGGCCTAACATCTAATGCCGGAGGCCCCAACCAAGCCGTTGCCGAGTTTAGGGCTCACACTGGTCCGGTGCACTCTCAAATGCCGCGGCCACCGTCTTCCACGGAGCCATCTTCAAAGCAAGCATTGACGCATTGACCTTGCCAGGCCTGCTGTCAACGCCACCTCCCTACACGCGTCCATCGTCATACATCTATCGCCGAGACCCTGCTACGCCACACCACCGAGACCCACATCGTCGATGTGTGACATGAAATGCCGCTCCACCACAAAACCGTCTACTGATCCCTCTAGCCAATGCACATCTCCGATAATGACGCCCCTAAGGAGGGAACGACGGAAGAGCACTGCCATCATCCGATCCACTGATCAAGGGTTTCCCCTGGAGGTAGCGGGAGGATTTGGGAGCTTCACCTCGATGATGCCTTCATGAAGGAAACAACACCAAGGGATTTCACCATCACCGGCTCCGGCCACCGACTGAAGACCAGGTTTTCACCTGGATCTGTCCCAAGAACATCCACGCAACAACCTGTGCACCATCCAGACTGCCTACAAAGCCCTAGATCCAGTGACCATCCACAACAACACTGCCACCATGGGAGCCCTGGCACACCGGCCACTGCCTGTGTGTGCCACCATTGGAGCCTGGGAGGAGGGCCGCCACCCACCTCGCCAAACCACAAGATCAACCAAGAGGAATCCCGCGCGCTCATTGATACGTCTCCAACGTATCTATAATTTTTGATTGTTCCATGTTGTTATACTATCATTCTTGGATGTTTTACAATCATTTTGTATCAATTCCATATTATTATTTGGGACTAACCTATTGACATAGTGCCAAGTGTCAGTTGCCACCGTGGGAGTACAAACGTAGCGAAACTTTTTATGGAACTTTTGGACTAGAAGACATCCAGTGGGCCAAAGAAGTACCGAAGAGGGGGCATGAGGTGAGAACAAGACACATGGGCGCGCCTGGAGGCCCAGGCGCACCCTGGTGGGTCGTGTCCACCTCGGTGACTTCCGGCACCGCCTCTTTATTCTACAAATACCCCAATATTCCAGAAACCCTAGGGGAGTCAACGAAAATCAATTCCAGCCGCCGCAAGTTTCAGAACCACCAGATCCATTCTAAACACCATCACGGAGGGGTTCATCATCCTCATTGGTGCCTCTCTGATAATGCGACGTGAGTAGTTCATTGTAGACCTACGGGTCCGTAGTTTGTAGCTAGATGGTATCCTCTCTCTCTCTCTCTCTCTCTCTCTCTCTCTCTCTCTCTACGATGGTCTCTTGGAGATCTATTTGATGTAACTATTTTTGCGGTGTGTTTGTCACGATCCGATGAACTTTGAGTTTATTATCAGATCTATGTTTTTATCCATGAAAGTTATTTGAGTCTTTTGATCTCTTATATGCATGATTACTTATAGCCTCGTATTTCTTCTCCGAATCTTTGGTTTAGTTAGGCCGACTAGATCGCTTTTTCTTGCCATGGGAAGAGGTGTTTTGTGATGGGTTCGATCGATCTTACAGTGCTTGATCCCAGTGACAGAAGGGGAACCGACATGTATGTATCGTTGCTATTAAGGATAACAAGATGGGCTCTATTTCTACATAAATAGATCTTGTCTATATCATGTCATCGTTCTTATTGCATTACTCCCTTTCTCCATGAACTTAATACACTAGACGCATGCTGGATAGCGTTTGATGTGTGGAGTAATAGTAGTAGATGCAGGCAGGAGTCGGTCTACTAATCTTGGATGTGATGCCTATATAATGATCATTGACCGGATATCGTCATGATTATTTGAGGTTCTATCAATTTCCCAACAATAATTTGTTTACCCACCGTGTGCTATTTTTCTCGAGAGAAGCCACTAGTGAAATCTACGGCCCCCAATTCTCTTCTTTATTATATTTGCCTTCGAGATCTATTCTTATTTGCTTCTATTTTCACATCTATTAATCCAAAAATACAAAAATATCTTGCTGCAATTTTTAGTTATTTATTTTATCTCGCGTTCCTGTGAGATATATTTATCCAATCTACTACAATTTTACCTATTCTTTTACCCGTGAGGGATTGACAACCCCTCTCTTACGTTGGGTTGCAAGTATTTATTCTTTGTGTGCAGGAGTTGTTTACGTGGTGTTACGTGGTTCTCCTACTGGTTCGATAACCTTGATCTCATCATTGAGGGAAATACCTACCGTAGCTATCCTGCATCATCCCTTCCTCTTTGGGGAAATACCGACGTAGTTCAAGCAAACATCACTCATCACCGTGTCTGTTCTGACCCAATCCGGAGCCAAAGCCACTATATCGCCAGTGCAGATCCACCATGGATAGGGACATCACCATGCCATGCCGACGCAGGAAGCCCGAGCTTCACCTGCCACCACCTTCCAGGGCTGCCGCCACGGGATCCGGGCTGGACATCGCCACCGCCGTTGAACTAAGCACGTGCGACACCATGAGGACGTAACCGTCGTGAGGATCCGCCGCTATGCCACCAAGCCCCGGGGGACGACGCTGGGGCTTAGATGCGATCTCTATATGATGTTGCGTTTAAGGCAAGTCTGGTAGATGCCAAATCCAAAAATGGGAGAGATTTTCACTTCATGACATCTGCACCAACTAGGGATGCATACAACTATTTTAGTATGAGTACCAAGATAATCATGGTCTTCGGAATTTTTTAAATGATTATTAAGATATTTTTTTGATGGGGTTGAAGGTGGGGCGCCATTGGAGAACTAACACACCATGAAGGTCAAGATCGTTCCCGACAACGGCCCCCGCATCGCCCACCTCCCAGGGCGACTCGGGCGGTAGCGAGATCTACTCCGCCAGGTCCCCCTCGCACCTTCTCTTTCCCCTCGTCGCCGCCCTATGGACTCGGCCGGGCTAAGCCCGTGCAGATCCGGTGGTGGCGGGGCCCCTGGCACCCTGGTGTTGCTTGTCCTTGGGTGGGAGGCTCAAGCGATGGGTGGACGGTGCGGTGCTCCTCCGCCCACGTCGGTAGGCCCGATGGTGGTGGGAGGACGGTGGTGGTCAAGGCTGTGTGCCCATGTCACTGCAGCCCTCTTCTTCAGGGATGGGATCCTTCCCAGATCCATGGAGGAGGAGTGCTGGCCGTGGCACGGGCGCACGCGCGTAGATGACGTCCAATCTGGCAGCATGACCAACCATGATGGTGGCGGCGGCTACCTCTGGTGGTCGGGTGTCGCTCATGTTGATCTTGTCCGGTGGAAGATTTGTCGGTGCCTCCGGTCAGATCATCCGATCTGGCCGGTGCAGGTGGCGGTAGTGGCCATCTACTCCGTCGGAGGTGGTCGGTCTGAGGCTGGATGGTCAGATCTCGAGATCTGTCATCTAGTTCTGGTTGTGAGTCGGGATGACATAGTTGCTAGTGAAAACCGAGACGATGGCAGGCGATGGCGGCGTTATGTGTC